TGGTGATGTGCCATGCACGTTGATTCAGGGTGGTGTTTGCCAGCTGGGGAATGTCATTGATGGCACTGTGTCATACACCGGTAAAAAGTTGGATTTGCAGATGTTGTAGGATAGATGTTTTTAGGAAATGAAAAAATAAAAGCAAGTGCAGCTGCAGAAACTGAATATGTAAAACCAAATCCCATGAGGTTTAGGCTTGTGGTTTCATTATACATTCCAGTTAAATTAGCTTAATATAGTGTTTAGTGTTTCTATTCTATTTCCTAATTTGTTGCACAGAGCCTGGAGGCTTAAAAGCTTGTAAGCAGCCACGTGGGGTGGGAGGGTCGGGAATAGGAGAAGAAAAGGGAATGTGTGCCTGATTACTTCCATAAACAATTGCTCTCTTTGCCATAAGACCAGGAAAACTAGATGGTGCCCTGCTACCATTCTGACTATGTTGATGAGAGACTCCATAGAAAAATCCTCTTCAGAAGGGGCAGGAGCCTAGTACAGAATTCCAAATTCTCGCGGAATCCAGGCTTTCTGTCCCAAACGATGGCACTTACATAATCTTTACATCTCAAACCAAAACATGGCTAAAGCATTCCTTAAAGCAAACAATAAGCTGGGTAATTTAGTAAAGAATGTTTGCCTTGAGCATCAGGTTCTTTTGAAGAAAGGTACAGTCCTAGGCAGCTCTCCTCTGGTTCACCAGCACGCATGAGGGGCTGTCACAGTAAGCTGCTCTGCTCTTTATTGTACTGGCTGATAGGGGAGGGCGGTGGGAAGAACAACCCCTGTGTAGCTGGTGGATTGTAGGAATGTGTGTGTGTGGGGGGGGTGTTATAGGAATGGTATGTGTAGATTATAGGAATGGTGTCACACGGGGTGGTGGGTAAGGAAGATGGTGACACCAAAATGACTGTAAAATGGGCAGAAATCTACTCCTTTTTTATTTAAATAAAGGCATCCCTGGAGCAAGTTATAGCAACAAAACGTTTTTTCATAAGTTCAGGGGTTATTTGTATATGTTTCTAGAAGGCTAAAATCCTATTTGAGTTTACTTTTTGAACCTTATAATGTGCCCTGGTCAGAGCTCTTGTTATGACCCAATTACAGTGATGCTTCAAATCAGGTAGTTTATGTTGTTGTTTTCTTTAGTTCGTTTTTATAGTCACATATTTTGTCAAATTTTCTTTTAGGTATAATATTGTGGTCATAAATATATTTTAAAATCTAGCACCATAACTTTATTGAGACTAAAGTAAAAATTTGATGAAAAGAAGTAGAATGATTTTTAAAAGGGATTCCATTCAGTTACTAATGTGGTAAATAATGAGGAAATTCAATGAATAAGGATTTCACAAAACAACTTTGTTTGTATTCATATAATCTAAGAAACATTACATTTAAGCAACGTATAAATATATTACATATTAGTCTATGATTAAAATGTATAATCAACATTACTTAGTGTGTTAGACAGGGTTCTCTAGAGAAACAAAGCCAGGAAACTAATAATTTTATATATATTTATACAGATAGATAAATAACATAAGAAATAAACAGTTAATTAAATTATAAAGCAGTACAAATGGCTCAGTGCAACTCACTCCCGTGAGACAGTTGTGAGACACTGGCAGTCCTTCAAGTCTTGAGGGCCGCCAGGTAGTCCTCTGTAGAGCAATTCAGGCTATCCGGGCACAAGCAGCAAACAGCAAGCAGGTCACCAACAGTCAGCCAGATGACAGGGTCGACAGTCCCCAGCTCAAGAGATGTACCTTCCAGTAGTGTGGCGAAGCAGGTCTTGAAGGAACCTCAAGTTACAGCGACACAGTCCACGGGTTAGGCATCCCACAGGTAGTGTAGTTTGCAAATGGAGGCACATAACAAGCAAGGCAACCGCACACCGGTACGATGATCCAAGAGCAAGAGAGAGAGAGAGGTGAAGCGCGCCAATCCATTTGTCTCTCCGCCCTTCAACTAATCTCACATGTGTTCATTGGCCATATTGGCACAATAAACCTACCTATCACACTTAGGATTCTGTA